TATTTTTAATTATAAGCATTAATATTTTCACTTGTCAATTTTCATGCAAATTCAAAAAAATCCGATATAACTAAAGCCTATAAATATATTGGATTGCTGCATAAACAAAATAGTGTCTATCAAATTCAAGTCATAATTTCATTTTATCAAATTCAACACTTGCATTTTCTCATTTATTATTTTTTAAATATTCACTAACTTAAATATTAAAAAATCATTCCGTTAAAAACCTATTATAAGGAATTTATTTTTACAACACAACCAATTTGATAACTAATTCAGTTATTAAGTACAACTGCGTTTTAAAAGTATTTTTAAAAAAGTTAATTTTTTTAAATTAATATATTTTTAAATTATTTTGATGTACTGATTTGAAAAATAATTTTTAAAAATAAAAATATTATTAATATATTTTTCTAAATAAAAAATATTTTAAAATATAACTACAAACATATCTTCAAACATATTTTTAGTGTATAATCAGTCTCGCATATCTTGCCTAGGATAATATCTCATGAAACGTGAAGTTTTTTTCGTCATCTCTTACAATAAGGTGGCAAATCAGTTTGAAGAAGTTGGATCATCGAATAAAAGATTGTGATGGGCATTCATTCCCACAAAACAAAAACAAAAACAAAAACATGGCCATTTGACCAATAGTGACATTGCATGAGATAAGAAATTGAAGGTCGTTGTGATGTCGAACTCTAGGTACGGGCAGCTTGATGATTCCGGCAGGTTCATGAACCTTACAACCTCACACGGGTCAATAATGGAGCCTGGAGGCTGCCTCCAAATTGCTGAGCTGCTGTTCATGTTATTTAATATATATATATTTTTTTTTGATTTACGTGGGGTATCCGGGCCAGCTTGCGCGCACCACGACTAATCCCCACGGCCCACTGAATATCCTGCAAACCCAGTAAGCATGTAAGGCACCGCAGGGGTGACAGGCGTGCATGCTAGGGCTCGAACCCAGGTGCAGTGGAAGGAGACAAGCCCCTTCCACCGCTAGATCAAGCCCTAGTTTGCGCCTTTCAGATTTTATATGCATGGGACAGAGAGGTGGATGAGCTTTGAAATTCTGTAGCCTTAATTTTCAAAGGATTCGCCTTCGTTTACATTCCAAAATCTACCATTGAGGTGGGGCACTATATTTTGCCATCAATTATTGTTTCTAGAATTAGTTGCTTTAATGAGCCTAATCCACAGCCCTAATCTTGATCAACCCCCCTCTTAAACCAACATAGAGGGGGGGGAGACACACAAAATCGACCTTTTAATCTAATTTGTCGTCTTATTGAGTCCTTAATTCCTTCTTTTCCATCTTATTAATCTAATTTCATGAGAAAAGGAAGGACACGTCAGTCCCTACCTAATTAAGATTAGGGACAGAAGAGAAGAATAAAGAGAAAAATCCCAGAGGACCCCTCCTAGAAGATCGGTGCAATTTTGAACACAAAAACTGAACATGTGATCTGGCTTCGCTTCTTTGCATGTGGCTGTCTTTTTCACCCCTCTTTCTATAATTGTTTTCCTGCCTTTTCTAGATAGATTTATATTTGTGGCCTCGAAATTCTCCTGATTTTAGGATGTTTTGTTTCCTACTTGTTTTTATGTTTAAAAAAAAATTATTTTTTTATTTATTTTAAATTAATATATTTTTAGTGCTTTTAAATTATTTTGATATGTTTATATTAAAAAATAAAAAAACATTATTAAGATGTATTTTATTATGAAAATTTATTTAAAAAGCAATAGAGTCACACTCTTAAATAAATTATCATTGAAAAGCAACCTTTGTTTTCTTGAGATGCATGAATTAGCTTAAAGATATTTTAACCCATAAGATAATATTTAACTGCATGATCATGCTAGTCGCTGTTTTTTATTGAAAATATTGTTACAATATTAAGTTGGAATATAAAAACATTATTTTATAATTGAGAAAGGATATGTTCTCTTTTCAATGCCACGTGTTTTTTGTGGAGTGGAAGCCATGTATCACATGCCATGGCGTTGCTTGCCTTGTATAAACACATGGCAATTACCAATTAATTAACTAACAATAATGTTTAATTAGGTGACGTGGGTGAGCCATTGGGAAATCAATTAAAAATGGAAGGGGTCCAATTATGTAATTGATACAATGGGAAACGTCCACGTTAGATGTTGAAAAGTCCACGAACTCGTTGTTATCATTACAACCTCTCATCTTTGGTTTTCGAATTACGCTTAGTGACGCCATGTGTTAAATAATTGCTTCAACACCCAGCTCGGCATGCCATATTGACTTGTGACACGGATGAATGTTAGGTTGGATTTAAATAAAAATAATTTTATATAGCTCAATCAAGAACCTAGATTGATTCTTGTTACGACCACCCAAGAAAAAACCAAGTTAAAATATAAAATTTTATTATTTTTTTAGTTTTTTAAATAATATTATTTTTAATATTTTTATAAAATAAAATAATCACATTAATTTATCTAATTTATGAACTAAAATTTATAACAGGTTAAATTTAAAATTTAAATTTAAATTATTGTTTTAAATATTGGTTGGGCATAATAAGTTGAGTGAAAATGATTGTCACAATTAATAAACATGTGAAATTTTATATAAAAAAAGAAGAAGGAAAAGATGTGTGAAGACAATGTAAAAGATAGGTTTGATGATTGGATTGTCACAATTAACAAATGGGTGAAATTTTATGATGTAAAAAAAAGAAGAAAAGATGTGTGAAGATAGTGTAAAAAATTGGTTTGGTGATTAAAAAAATTAATCCAAAAAAAAAACTAATTTTCTAGTGACATCACTATGTTCTAAAATACAATAGTCTAATTATTATAATGCCCTGATCATTTATTGCCTATGTTTTAAGAATAAGGTAGTCTTTTCACCATTAAATAAATGTTTTTTAAGGATTATATGAAGTTATTTTGATATTTTTATTTTTTAATGCATAACAATAATTTTTTATTTTAAATTTTTGTTAGTAATAAAATTACTAGATTATCTTTATCATTTAAATGTTTTAATCCTAGCTTCACGAGTTTGGTTGTAATTTTATCATGATTTATATATTATTATTATTTAATTCTATGGGTACTTTTGGCTTTGTATAAATAAAATAAAAATTAAAAAATCCTTTGGCCACATTATTTAATTCATCTCAACATTTTTTATTTATTTAGGTGATGTGTATGTAGTGATTTAACATGGTTTGACCTAAAATTGTTTTTATTTTTTTTATATTCCTTTTTTTTTCTTTTTTAGATTGTGTATTAGCCATGCAAAACATCACACCAGCCCCTAGTATTTTTTATTCAATCCCTCTTGTTTTATTTTTTATTTTTTATTTACATTGATTATTTCAAACTAAATTTTATTTTCAATTTCATCCATGCTCATTTGATTTTATTAATTTATTTTTAAATTTATTTTTTTATTTTTTAATTGTTATTTGTTTTGTTTTGAATTATTTTTCTTGGTTTTTTTTATTTCACCTCTACATATTTATTTTTATTTAATTTCTATGTAAAATTTGATCCTAATTCTAATTGTTATTTTCTCAATTAATGGAATTGTTTTTTATAATCTCATCCCTATACATTTAATTTAATTTTATTTTTCCCTAAACATTTAATTTTATTTATTTATTATATTCAATTTAGTCCTAATTTTTTTAATTGCTATTTTTTCTTTTTTTTTTTGAGTTTTGTTAATTGTTTTTCAATTTTATCTTTTAATATTTATTTAATTAAAAATCTTACTTATTGATTTTTTTAGTTTGTCATTAATAGAATCACTTTAATTTTATAACCTAAGTAATAGATTTGAAAAATTAACTCAACTTGACTTTTATTTATTTTAAAATATTGTTTTATAAACATTTTTTATTTTTATTTACAAGATAAGAATATTTTTCAGACCAATTTATTCATCAATTGAAATTAAATCTTTTATCTTAAGAAAATATCTTCCATATCATATAACTATATAGTTTGTTTATAGTAATGTTTTGTGTTTTTTAAAAAATTATATAATAAACTCCATAATAAAGTGTTTTACTTTTAATTTAAAACATTGATTAGGAAACATGAGTTTTTTAGATGTCATTTAAATTGAAAAAAACATGTGAAAATATTATATTTTAACAGTAATGTTTTACATTAATTTCAATTTAAAAAATTGATTAGTTTTTTTAAAGTAAATATATTTCAATAATTTAATGAATTATATGTATTTTTCTTAAAATCACTATTGTTAAAAAAAATTATTAATATCCAGCGAACCAAGCAGGCAACGTACAGACGGACATCTATAAAAACACTAACAGAGTTTGAAATTAACGATAATACCGAACAGCTCTGTCTTCATTATTCCACCCTGATAATTTGAGAGAAAACAGAGGAGAAAATCACGCGGAGGGAGAGAGAGAAAGAGAGAGAGAGGGAGGGAGGGAGGGAGGGGATTTAAACACCCGCCACTTTCATTTGATTTCGTGGGGGTGTTTGTATTTTTGGCAGAGAGAGGGAAACCAGGAAAAGAAGAGGAAAACGAAGAAAAGTGCTTTGTGAGTGTGAGAGAAACTATTGGTGAATGGTGAGAAAGGAGGAGGAGAAGCAGAAGAAGGAGAAGGGAATGCAACTTGGAAAATACGAGCTGGGAAGGACTCTAGGCGAAGGCAATTTCGGGAAAGTTAAACTGGCTAAGAACATTGAGACTGGCCAACCTTTTGCTGTTAAGATTCTTGAGAAGAACAGAATCATCGACCTCAAGATCACCGATCAGGTCTTTTACCTTTAATTTCTTCCGGGTTTCTTCTTCTGTGTTACAATTACATCTCTCTGTTTCCTGGTCGGTGTTCTCATTCTGAAACAAAAAAAAAAAAAAGAATTCCTTTCTTTACACGTTTTTTTGCTGTAAAAAAGCAAAGCAAGAAATGGGGTGGGAATATGGCTTTCTTGTTAATAGATTGCTTTGATTTTCTTAGATCCCATCCTAAATTTTCGTGGGCAGACAAATTGCTGTTTATAATTATTATTTACGCATTCTTTAGAATTGTTTTAATTATTATAATTACTACAGATTAAAAGGGAGATTGCAACTTTGAAGCTCCTCAAGCATCCAAACGTTGTCAGATTACATGAGGTATGTTTAATAAAAGCATCCACTTTTGTTACTCAATTCCCTTATTAGAAACAGAAATACAAGGAGTTTTTTTTTTTTTTGTTATTGCTTGAATTTTTGAAGCCTGTAATGCTTTTTTATTGCTTGAATTTTTGAAGCCTGTAATGAAGGGATAAACAAAAGACTTTAATTTTACCAAACAACCTAAATTCAACCAGCCTTCCATGACTGCGAAATTGCAGCAAGAAGCCAGGCAAGAACAATTCATAGAAGACGCGTCCTTAATCTCGTCTGTTGACCCATCTTTGTTTCACTGGTTTGATCCTCATTGCCGAATCAAGTCAATGGTCTTTTAGTTGGTTCTTGGTGAAGGGCAGCACATGAGAGTGTCCTGTCAATTCAGGTCTGGTCTGGACCATATGAGGTTATTAATGACCGGAAAAGAAATCTGCACATCAACAATCGACTCCATCATCTCACCTAGGGGTGTTAAAAAAAACCCGTTACACCGGTAAAAACCTAAGGAACCAACTATTCAAAATCAAATAACACGAATAAAAACCTAATAAATCTAAAACTCGTTCAACCACAATTATGTACTCTGTATTAATGAACACCTTTTCTTTTCATCCATCAATGTCTTTTCTCTATTCCCCTCCCCTGGAATAAAAGATGTTACAGGTTACACCCCATTGGCTGGCCTCGTTGCATTGCAGCAGCTAGCGGGAATATGGGACCCCTTGCCTCAATGATTCGAGGACAAATCACTATAAAGATAACCTTTTGTTTTTTCTGTTATATATATATATATATATGATGTGGATATGATAAAAATGATGCCCTGGCTATTATTATTATTACTAGAATTATTATTGTCTGGGTGATGTTGTTGCAGTGCCTTAGACTGACCCGCCAATTATAATTGGCCGCTTGCATTTAGTGGAGGAGGAAGACTCTCTAATGCATAGCACGTGAGAGTGTCCTGTCAAGTCAGGTTGTTAATGGCCGGAGAAGAAACCTTAGGAGTCTTTAAAAAAAACCCTTTCAGTTGTAATATTTGTATTATTTAACCTGAAGCAACTATTCCAAATCAAATAACACGAATAAAAAACTAATAAATAGAT